AATAAGAAGTGTAAATCCTGTCAGTTCAGTGATCCGTGGGAAGAAAAGGTCAAATTTTGTTCTTTTCCACAGGAAAAAGAGAAGCGTTTGGAAGAGGAGCTGAAGAAGTGCAAAGCTCAGTTGACCATTCAGCATGACATCTTACAACAACTCAGATCCATGCACGTTTCTCACAACCCGTGTCCGACGAGCTTCAACAAAATGAAGAAAGAACGGGCGGATTTGGTGGAACAACTAGAAGCTGCGAAGGCTGAGAAAGACGCGGAAATCACTCGCCTGAAGCGGGAAAACGAATCGCTGAAGATGGTGTTGAATCCAGTAAGTTGTTCAGCTTTGTTCTTCATTTCTTCATTTGCTAAAAGAAGGGAATGTTCATGGAAATTTTTCCAGTTTGTGCTGTGTACCCGTTAATTCAGAATTTATTTGCAAAAAGCCGACATGATTGGAGACCTTTCATGAAATACTCTACCATTTTAAATTTTGCTTGAGCATCTGTTTCGGAACGAACGAATAAAAATTCCATCAATTCTTTCCCACAAAAAAAACGAAAAACATCACAAGAATGGAAAAAATCCGAATCTCAGGCTCCTGTCTGTAATATGTCTTTCAGGTCTTAGCTTCACGTAATTTACTGATGAAACCTTATCCGGCATTTTTGAAGAACTTTTCATTGAAGCTCATACCATTTGAAACGTCACTTGAACATCTGTTTCGGAACCTAGAAATAAAATTGTATCGACCCCCACCCAAAGAAATCACGAGAATGACAATTTAGAAGTTTTATCCGAATCTGAGGCTTATGCGAGTTTTATACGATTGTAATCGAAGTCTTCGGGTCTTAGCTTTACGTATAGTTCGCCTGTTGAAACCAATCTGACCTCGATCCAAAAAAACTGTGACGGTTGGAAAAAAATTGGACAGTACGAGAGTTTCGGTTGTTGATGACTGTTTACTGAGCGACGAATTTCGCGAATGTTTGAAGACGATCAAAAATCAATCGAACGTCGCATTTTTTCCGTCCTAACCTGAAATATTGATTTAATGATGCAATGAAGTATTGTGTACTGTAATTTCCAGTCCGTGAAGCGAGAGGAAATACTACTTTTTGGGACTTGGAACTTTCGAATGGGAATTACAAATTGAATAATCAACGCAACGTTCTATTTCTTCTGTACAAAAAAAAAATCAGAAACAAGAAGTTGGTCTTCAGCTTTGCGCTCGTGTCGAGGAACTGGAACGTTTGCACAAGCAGAAAGCGGCAGAGTTTGACTTGCTGTGGCGTCACTTGAACGCGCTCACAACTTCAGCGGAAGACACGTCTTCCTGGATCCTGGAACTGAGGAACATAATTGCGTCTCCAGCGTTTCAGGGTTACATTCGTTCGGATGTGAGTGCGGAAAAGAATGCCGTGCCCGTTGCTGCGGAAGTGCGGGAAGAGCAACTTCCGCCGGAACCTAGAACCCAGTCCAGGAAGAAGAAGAAACCGACTTGAAAGTCGGCTAATATCTCGTTGAATCTTTTTTTTTTTTTTTGTGACGCTCTATGACGATTTGAATGCCGAAAAATTTTTGCGGAAATCCACGTGTTTCTAGATTCGTGTTAAAACGAAAAGAAAAAAATGTTTGCGCTGCGATTCCCTGCTTTGAGTGCGGATTCGGACTGTGAACTTGAGTTTGTTCTTTCAATGGGGAAATGTTTTCTATGTTGAAAATTGCTTCTTTTTTTTTGTTGGTTCGACTCGGCGTCATAAAAGGATTCTTCGATGTGCTATGGCTGACGTGGCCGAAAAATTATTCACTCGTGGTTTTGTTCTCATCGTCCTTTTTCCTATTATATTTCCAGACTTTCTGAGTGTAAGATGTCTAAAAGCGGAGGATCGTCGCTTACACCGTATCCTACCAAGAGTGAGTTCATTTTGAAAACCTGACGAATGTTGAATTAGGAATTTAATTTTATTTTATTTTTTGTCTTGGTTAGATTTTTCTGGCTCAAGCAGTGCGCAAAAAGGTGGTCAAAGCGATGGACCGTTTGTGTATAAAGGAAAAGGCTCTACGAAGTTCAAGCCGAAGAAACTGATTGTCTCCAAATCGTCGTCGAAAGGAGACCAGGTTTGTGAGCTTCATTTTTCCCTAGTTGACAAGCTCGGTTAGAAGATTCGGAGCTGTTTCATCTGCTTGGTTCACGAAACCGTTTCGTATAAAGTCGTGTTCGCTTGTGTTACTGCCGTTTTTTCCGAACCTCCCCCCCCCCCCTCCAAATGGGGACCGTTCACAGGAAAGGTTTGGAAATTGAAAATATCTGTGCCTTTGTAGGAATTTTTTTTCTCTTGACACTTGTGATGATAATGAATGCGAGGAGTTTTAGAAAGTCCTAAAGGTCACCCAAAAATTTTCCTTATAATAAAGAGTTGAAAGCTGGTGGTAAGATTTTCAGAATTTTTAATCGCTTTCTGAAAAATAATTACTGCATTTTCAAGTTTTCTTTCATTTTTACCTTGCCTTGAATTTTTAAAACGTTTACCACGAATTCTTAGAGGTTCGAAATTTTCGGCTTTTTCTCTTATAAGGATGCATTATTAGTCGCCATGAATTTCCAATTTTTTCAATGGCATGCCTGACCACACTGGCCCAGAAACCAACTGTGGGGCTTAATTTTGAATTTATTTCGATTTTTCTGCTTTCCAGTCTTCGGAGTATTTTTCAATCTCGTGTATGTTAGCTGTTTTTACTTGTTGCTCCAGACTTGCCATTAATTTAAGAACATTTATTGTTTTAATGAATCTGGTTCAAATATTGTCGAGAGCAGATTTACGAGCGTCGGTTTTTTTAAATCTGCAGACAGTTTTTTACGGCCATAGAAAATCAACTGTCAGGGAATCACAGTGAAGTGATTCATATTTCGGATAATCATCCCATTTCAACGTTGGCGGGCTGCCAAAAAAAAAGTCATTCAAATCCATCTGGGAGTCGTGTAATTAACCTACCTTTTAGAAACCATTATTTTTCCTTTTTTTT